TGTCCAAAAAATGCGAAGAAAAGTGCCACCGCTCGCTGCTCCACCTGTCTCTTATACACATCTAGATGTGTATAAGAGACAGATATGACACTGATCAGAACAGATAACGACACTGGATCTTAGCCAAAAGGACGAGAAAGGTGTTTTCTTTTTGCTTTTCTTTTCATTGTCTTTTTTCTTTTTTCCTTGCATGGGCTACCTGGAAGGACTCTAGAAACTGCAGCACACGCCTACCTGGCTGCAATACAGTATCTGGACAACATGATGCCATAAATACATATAGGATGTCGTGTTTGGTTTCCCTGTTCTTTCTTTCTTTCGTTCCTTCTTTTGTTCATTTTGCTCTCTGCAATCTGCAATGATGATGTCATGTCATTGGATCAGTACCTCTGGGCCTCAGCCCTCCTCCGTGCAAGCACGAATTCGAACCGGCGACCTCGGCCTCAAGAGCCAAGTATCGTAACCACTACAGCCAGGACATGGTGTTCAAAAGCGGAACCATATGCCTGCCTCCCTGTTGTGTTGTCACACACACTGTTCTTACCGGTGTCACCTCCTTTTTTGTTTTTGGAAGGTAGAAACTTGTTACACATCAGAAAGAGGGGCCGGCCACCCCACATAAAGGCAGGTACTGGGAGCATTATCACCTTAGATATGCCAACTTGCGGCACCAGTTGAAAAAACAGGCTCAGCAAAATGCATTTTTTGGTTCATCAATTTAGCTTCAGATGGAACTGGTGGTTTAAGCCCCTGAGATGCAGAAAAGCAGATAGGTAAAGATTTTCTGCACTTATTTTCTGCACTTCTCAACAAATGCTTCCAGATAAAGGGCCTCGCTCCACCACTCGCCACTTGCAGAAAAGACAAAAAATACGGCGGTGCATCTTTCCATGTTCTACCGGAAGATTCATTCGCATTTTTCACTTTTGGAGAGTAGTGCGTCCGGGTGAAGGCATACTTGGCATGGTGCTGAGTCTGCTGACGTCGCTGTCGTCAGAAGCAACCAAGCGGAGAAACAAAGAAGGAAGAAAAGAAAAGGAAACAAAACGTGCTTCAACTGCCGGTAGCCCGCCACTATGGGCCTAGTTGCACTACTCGCCACCCACCACAATTCGTGGCGGATGGGTGGAGAGTGAAAAAAAAGAGAATCGTTTCGAACTGGAGGCCCGGTTACTCGCCACAATATTTCTTCTACAGAAAAGTTTTTTTTTTTTTTTTTTTTTTGTCTGCCTGATCTCCACTCGTGAAGCCGTGCACTCTCCAAAAAGTTGTTTTGTGGACAGGTCCGAGGACCACCCTCCACAAACCGCCGTGCACAGGCAGGGAAACTGAAAACACTCGCCACAACTTGTGTCGAGGGTGTGGCGAGCAGTCTGACATATTTTTCATTCGTCATGTTAGGCGAGTAAGTGCAACCAGGCGCCTTCTCGCCAAACTTGGCGTATGGAGAGTAGTGCAACCAGGCACCTTCTCGCCAAACTTGGCGTATGGAGAGTAGTGCAACCAGGCCCTATGGGTGTCGCTCCACGACCGTGCGCTGTACGTCGATTTGGAGAGAAATTGGATAGTTGTCAGACTGTCCAAAAAATGCGAAGAAAAGTGCCACCGCTCGCT